ATAGTACCTGTGGGATTTTAGTAGCTATCCTTTAGTAGAATGAAGAAGTGACCACCTATCTTTGTTATGCTTAATTAGAATTTTTATCATAAATATACATTGAATCTTTGCAAATACTTATTTTACATCTATTGAAATGATCATGTGTTGGGTTTTTTGGGGGGGGCGTTGTTAATATAATGAATTATATCAATTAATTTTCAAATATTAAACCAGCCTTGCATTCCTAGGTTAAAACTTTTCAGGTCATGATGGAGTATCCTTTTTCTATATTCCTGTATTAAGTTTCTAAAATTATTCAGAACTTCTACAGATATGCTTAAAGGGGGTATTGACTTGAAATTTTCTTTTCTTGTAATGTCTTTATTTTAATATCAGAGTAATGCTGGACACAGAATAAAAATTTTTTAAAGTCCCAGCTTTGATTTTCTGGAAATATTTGTATAAAATTGATATTCTTTTTTTCCTTAAATATTTGGTAAAATTTGCAGTGTAGCTGCTGGGCCTAGATTTTTCTTTGTGGAAAGTTTTAATTACAAATTCAATTTTTAATAGACATGGGCCTAATCAAGTTATCTTATTTATTATTGAGTGAGCTTAGTAGTTTGTATCTATATTAGGAATTTTTTAAAGTTCTTATTTTCCTGAACCCTCACCATCCCCACAAATAGGCTGAGAGCACCTAGCCCAGCATGCCCAGCAGTTAGGTCTACAAGTGTGGTAAGATGGTCTCTTCCACAGGTTCCCCTTTCTTTCCCTACCCTGACTGTGATCTAGTGATATGCCAAAAGCCCCAATGACACACCCTCGTGCTTTCCATTTGTGTACTCTGACCCCTTAGTAAGGACACTTGTACATGAGTCTGTGTTGGTCAAGCTTATCTAAAAGAATACAACCAAGAGAATATATGTATCATTATAAGAAGGGATTTATTAGACTGGTTTACAGGTTGAGGCTGGATAGTCCCACAATTGTCATCTGCACACTGGACAGCCAGAGAACCCAGTAGTTGTTCAGTTCAAGAAGCTAGAAGCCTCAGAACAAGATGGACCAATGGTGTGACCCTCCTCAAGGCTGAAGACCTTCAAGCCTCCTGGAGAGTTGCTGATGTGAGTCCACTCCGAAAGGCCGAAGAAGCTGGAGCCAGCTATTTCCAGGTAATGGCAGCAGCAAGAAACACACCTGCACAAGCAGAATCAAGCTTGCAAGCACTAGCTGGTCTCCTCTTCCTGCTTTTGCTCCATCAGGCCCCTACTGTACTGAATGATACCACTCATATTCAGGGCCTCAATTCGCTGGACTACATTCCAGTCAGCTCTAGAAACACCTTCAGACACATCTCAATACACACAGAAGGGTATTTTACTAATCTTCCAGGAGTCTTTCAACCCAATCAGGTTGACAGTCAAGATTAATCAACAGTCTTCACTTTCTCTGAGCTCCCTACTTGCTTCACTGAGCCTGCTCCCCTGGTACCCACTACCTCACGTAGCACCATGTGATATGCCATGTCTCCCTTCTCTAGGACTTACAGCATAATAAAGCCGTTAATTTCATCTATTTCTCTGTAATTTATGTGACCATATCAGAATGACTCTTAAAGATCCCAGGAGGGGGACTTATTTATTTACAACTCAATGTTTTTCATGAAATTTGTCTCTTTCATCTAAGTTATCAAAATGACTGGCATAAAATTATAATATTTCCCTAGTATCCTTTTAATACCTGTAGAGTCTATAGTGCTGTCACCACTCTCATTCCTAACACTGTTAATTTGTGTCTTTTGTCTCTCATTGATCAATCGGGCTACAGGTTTGTTAATTTTATTGGTTTCAAAACCAGAGCTTTAGTTTTATTAATTTTCTCTATTGTGTTTCTGCTTGTTTCACTTCACGCTGATTTTTTCTTATTCCTTGTTTCTTATATACTTTTGTTTTTACTTGCTCTGCTTTTTATATCTCCATAGATAAAAGATGAGGTCACTGATATGAAATCTTTCTCCTTTACTAATGTGAGCATTTTGTGCTACAAATTCCCTCTAGCTACTGCTGTAACCGCATCCCACAAATATTACTGTGGTCATACTCATTCAGTTAATAATACTATTACCCCATTAATTGTTTTCTTTGGCCCATGGATTATTTAGACATGTGTTATATAATTGTCAAATATTTGGAGATTTTCCAGAGATCTTTGTTGTTGATTTCCAACTTAATTTTGTGGTCAGAGGGCATACTTTATGATCTTAATCACCTTAAAAGCACTGAAACTTATCTTGTGATCTATGTGATCAGTGTTACTAAATGTTCCATTTCTACTAAAAATATATATATATTCTGTTACTGGCTTGAGTGCTCTATAAATGTCAATTAAAGATCAAGCTGATTAACAATGTTGTTCAAGTCTTCTATATCTCTACAGGCTTACACTATGGGATCCACTGGTCAATAACAATGTCTTGCTCTATGTGAGAAGCCCTGGAACAAAAAGCAAAGGCTATGAGTATAGGTCCAAGGGTTCTACTGGCTTCAGACTACTATATATCTTCTCCAATTATATGTATATAAAGAGACTGCAGAAATAAAAAAGTGGAGTCAGACCCATTTTACCAACTGTGAGCTAGACTGGCTAGCACTCAATTTGTTACTGGGTTTCCATAAAATCTTACTATAACTCAGGCATAATGGTGTATACTTGCAGCCCCAACTACTACTGTAAGGAGGCTGAGATAGGTGGATTACTTGAGCCCTGCAGTTCAAAACTAACCTGGGAAATATAGCAAGAGCTTTGTCTAAAACAAAATAAATCACACACATGTGCACAAACTTTAACGAGTGGACCACAATGGTGTTTTCGATCCTTTGGAATCCATGTCAGTGAATACAACTCATGGCTGGAAATTCTGAGTATTTCTCTTAATGTCCTACATAATTACCTTGATAACTGATGGTAAATGACTGCCTCTGTGAGAAAGGATCAAGGGATATATATCAAATATATCTGAGGATATTCCTGAATGAATCGGGTCTCTCTCTTCCATCTTGAGCTGTAGATCTGCATCTGGAAACCAGGTGACAACTACAGTTTTCATTACCATGATGTCAGCCTTCTGCTTTCCAGTTCTCAGATTTATGAGAGGTGAGGTAAAAGCAGTTACATAACTTAAATATCTTAATCAGCTGTCTTTCTGTCTTGCACCTTGGAAGATTATGAACTTAAATTGTATCCCCAGACTCATGCTTTGGTGCCCAGTAAGTTAACTATGGGTCTCTGACAATTAAGTTCCACAATTTGTCCTTCAAGCTTTCTGCATCCCAATCTATGTACTGACATCACAGAACCCTGTATAATGGCAATATCTTGTATCAATTCTAGTTGTCAGTGCCAACTTCTCAAAGTTTCTTGTATACTCTCAAGCATTACATGTCTAATTGCCTTAGTTAGGAGAATCATCTGGGTCTTCCCAGGGAAAATTCAGGTGCTAGCTCCTCCAGTTTCAAATAACAAATCCAATCTAACATTCTCATACCCTTGAGCTTTCTGAACCATTCCTCAATACTATGCGAAATAATTTCTGGCATGTTCACCTTATCTTCAATATACCATCCTTGAAGTTTGTTAGGACCAACTCCAGACATCTTTACCAGAGCATTACATCACGTATTATGAGTATGTGCTCATACATCACTTTCTCCCATCAAGCTCTGTATGCTTCCCTCACCCTACTCATTGGTCCAACACCCTCAAGATCTACTCCCAGACCCTTTTGCTGGATTCTAGCCAGTACACTCTGACCATAATGTACAGTTCATTCAGAGTGTAATGTAGCCTCCTCAAGAAAGGATTGTATTTCTCTCCTGGAGTATGCTGAGACCTGAACATCTAGTAAACAGTTTGGAGTCAATGAGAAGTCACGGGGGTAGGTCTTACGCAGGACAAGTGTCGCTTCATAATGCAACTACCTCAGATGAAGCCCTTGCAAGATGTCAAGGCCAGGGCAGGCTGCTCCCCCTGTCAAACTGTATAATTCTGTTTCTGCTAGGCCGGAGATTCAGGAAAACCTAAGGGTTCAGGATTCTCAGGCTCACCAACATAAATGTCCCCATTCTTTTTCTGTCAGGCTTTGTTGGAGACTATTGAAGCTGAGTGTGCTTTCCGTTTCCTTTGCAGCCTTGCTACCTTTACTACTAAATTTAGATCTGATCATCACCACAACCTGCCCTATATCTTTGGGAGATTGGATTTTCCTTAAAGGATGCTATTGTGGGACTATGGCTTTCAAAGCATGCCTGGCACTAGGTGGTTAACATAAGCCTATGTAATTTTCTTTGTACAAGGTTTCCAAAGCAGTTAACTGTACCTAAACAGTCTTAAAGTTCCCATTAGTTGCATCCCACTTCAGTAACACAGCCACTGCATAACAAGTATTATATAACCTACACTCCAGCTTCCACTGACATTTCATCCAAATCCACTGCAGTAAGTGATCCAGTCACAGAAACCCATCCTGACTGCTTTATAAGGCCATTCTTGGTACTAACAAACCATCTTGGCCTGCGTTTACCCCACACTCAAAAAAAAAAAAACTTAGACAAATGTTCATATAACGGGTAAATCATTTGGGAAGTGATCTGAGGGACCCAGAAGTAAGGATGAGGGAGTAAAAAAGAGAAAGCTAATATGAGAATATATTGCTGAATTGCCCATTTCTATGGGTGACCAGTGCTCAGTCCCAAAGGATTTTCTGAGGAAGTTTAGTACAGCTCAGAACTGCCTAGTCAATTCTGATGGAAGATGGACCATTTATGTATTGGCTTCCAAATCTTTAATTTTTTTTTTTCTGGAACCAGGAATCAAACTCAGGACCTTGCACTTGCCAGGCAGGAGTGGTGCCACTGAGCTATATCCCTGTAATTTTTATTTTTATTTATTTATATATGTTTTTGGTACTGGGGATCTAACTCGGGCCCTTGCGCTTGTGAGGCGGGTGGTGGAACCACTGAGCTAAACCCCCAGCCCCTGCAATTTTTAAATAACCTGAAAACATTTAAATTATAACAGGCTAAAAATATTGTACTTTCAAGGTTTGACTCATAAAATATCATTTGTTAAGAAAGTGAAAAGTGCACATATAAATTGGTAAATCATGAATTTTTTCAAAAATAATATAAGGTAATACACATATCAATAAATTAAGAAAACATCCCAAAATACATTTACTCATTTAAAAAAGTAAAAGAGAAAATAAACTCTATTATTACAGTTAAATAAGCATGAAAAAGATATATTTGGATGATGATTTTAATTGTCCAAGAGACTTCATGAAGGCTTTGTAGTTGATGGCAATGGAGCTTTTCCTTTGTGCTTAGCAGCCTTTTCCATTTTTATCTACAAATACAAAACATTGATTGATATAGTAATTTGAAAACTATTCTAAAGAAAACAATGTTGCACATACCTCACTTGGATTCATGCCTTATTTACCACAGATGTACCACATAGTTATTAAGCTACTAAATACTAAAGCCAAAATCTGATAATTAAAGGGACATAATTGTTAACATACCATTGTTAAATGGTTTTAACTTTATATAAACATTTCAATAAAAATAACATACAAATAATTACTGGCTTAAAGAGAATAAATTAAATTGTCACTAAAAAAACATTTTTTAAATGCTTAAAATATCCATCCTATGCATAGTCCCTGCAGAATTCAGAATACACCTAATTCAGCTGCATTATCTCTGGAATGTGGACTGCTTGAAGGATGCTTTCCTAGAATTCTGGTTTCTACATTCCAACTTTTTTTCCTGAAGTTCTTATCTTCCTCCATTGCAGTCAAAGCAAAGAAGCACATATACCCTAAGTAGTAGCCTTATAACTTTTTAAACACATATAAACCTTTCCTCAGAAGTTAAAGACCCCAGAAAATACAAAGCCCATCTGCTTCTTGCTCACAACCCATCACATTCACATACACTCAAGTTCCCCAGGCAGCACCACTGCCTTAACCCTGCAAAAAAAGGGGACAGAAAATAAAGGACATAGCACATAGAAACGAGGTTTCCTACCTCTCAAGTGGCAGGAATAATATCAAGAAACCAGGAAGGACCTGGTAAAAACCAGTTTATTCTATCCCGTCAAACAGTAAGTAATAAATTCTCAATGATAAAATCAGATTAATCTAACCTCTGCCTCTTCCCCATTTTTTTCCCTTCTCTCCTCTTTGAGTTGGCTGGCAACCTCATTCCAAAACCATGAACTCCTAGTACTCTCACAGGTCACCTGAAGGATCTCTAGTAAGCACTCTAAAGCAAAGATTATTACTCCAGGAGTCAAATAAAAGAGAATTTGAATCCAACCTGTTCCATTTAGTAAGAATTTGGGGCAATTTACTTAACCAACAGTTTCTCATTTGAAAAAAAAGACCCAGTAATAGCCATTCTTGGGGTTGTTGTAAAGATCTAAGTAAGAAAAGGTAAAAGAAACAGACAGGCAGACAGACAGATGAACAGAGAGACAGAGACAGAGACTGACCTAAGCACTAAATAAAAATTCAACAAACACCCAGCCTTTTCCTTTTTCATTTAAGGCCAACTGTTACATTTGCAGTAACATTTTTTTAAAAAACAACAAATATGCTAAACAACAAGGAAAAGCCAAAGCAGTATTTGCTCATTCAAAACAGTACTTAAAAAATGCAACCACGTACAGTCCTATTTTCAACAGTCAACACAAGCCAGACCTCTCGAGAAGAGGGCAGGGGGAGTTCTAAAACCCAGGAAAACTAAAACTAATCTGCCAATATATGTGTTCCAGAAATGAAAACTGATTTGATTATGAGCCTTATCCTTAATGGTACTGCAAAAGTAGCCTTTTCTTTTATCACCCTGACCATTTCATCTTCTTCCCCAGAATTCATACACTGAAACTGAATCATCAGTCTAATGACATTAGGAGGCAGGCCCCTAATATCTCCCAGAATTCTGCCCAGAATTCATATGCTGAAACTTAAGCACCAATCTGATGATATTAGAAGGTGGGCCTTTGGGATCTCTTGACATCTTGACAGCCAAGCCCTGATGAATGGGATTAGTGTTCTATAAGAGACCCCAGCACTGCCTTGTCTCTTCATGAGGGCACAGGGAGAAGGTGCTATCTATGAACTAGAAGGTAGCCCTCAGACTCTAGAGGTACCTTGATCTAAGAATTCTCAGCCTCCAAAACTGTGATAATAAATTCTGTGTTTATAAGCCACTCAATTTGTAGTATTTTTCTATGGCAGCCCAAAGATCTCCTTACACCAGAGCTTTGCGAAAGAATTTTCTGCAAAAAAGGAATGGCTTTATATCTGTGCTCTCTATTAAGGCAGTTACTAGCCATGTGTGGTTACTAAGCACTTCAAATCTGGCTAGTACAACCAAAGGAATGAATTTTAAATTTTATTTTATTTAAATTTATATTTATACAGCCACCTATGGTGAATGGCTATAGTACAAATATACAAAGTTTACATCATTTCAAAAAATTCTAGTCTACCTCTGCCTTAACTTGCATACCAGACTCTTCCCTCTATTTCAGACTTCTGTGTCAGGAAAGCCACACTAATTTTTGTCTTCTCATTTCCTCCACTCTTAGGTGGCAAATTTATTTAATGTTCTTTTTCTACATCCTCAATGAACTCTAGCTACTCAATGAACTCTTGTCTAAGAGGATACAACAAGGGCAGGAGATTTACTTCAGTGTTTCTGCAACCTACTTCACAAGCACAAGGTCCAGAGTTCAATCCCTGGTACAAAAAAAAAAAAGGATACAACAAAAGTGACAGGAGTGTGTTTACTTTCACGGGGTTTATTACTTTTAAGAGATAATAATACCCACAACAAAAGTATAAAATAATCCCAGAAAAGCACTTTCAGGCATATGGCTGAAATATCATTCACCAGTCCTTAATCCAATATTCTTTCACCTAGCAAAAAACCAAAACTAAAACCCTTAAATATATGAATACTGCTATGAAACATATCAAAAATAGAAGTCAAAAAGTGTAAGTAGTTAGCATCTACGATAAAGCAAATATCGTGCGATAATTTTTTCAAGTTTCTGTAAATATTAAAAATTTATGTATAAGGTACTTTATGAGGAGCTAGTGGAAATACAAAGATAAATGAAATACTTTACTTAGAGAAACGATAAAACTGACCATTGTTAAAAAGCTGTGAGCACATCAAAGCTACAGCTGTTGAGCCCTGGAAATTGTTAAAATATATTTAGTGTTTCAGTCTGTCTTAAAAGCTATAAGATAATTCGTTTGTTTTTTTTTGAGACAGGGTCTCACTATGTAGTTCAGACTGCCCTGGAACTCACTGTGTAGCCCGGGTTGGTCTTGATCTCAGAGCAATCCTCCTGCCTCAGCCTCCTCAGTCTCCAAAATGCTGGAATTACAGGCACGTACCACCACGCCCGGCTAGCTATAAGATAATTTTAACTTGAGTCTAGATATACCAAATAGCCTCTAAAAAGAAGCAGCAGGGACCAGGGATTTAGCTCAGTGGTTCCGACGCCTGCCTCACAAGCATGAGGACACGAGTTCAAAACCCAGTACCAAAAAAAAAAAAAAGAATGAAAAAGAAAATGCAAAAAAAAAAAGCAGTATTGTTAATGATTTTAAACATTTGACAATGTTTTTAGTACATATTTTAATACATATTTTTAATTGATCCATAATAATTATATAATTTACAATATACAGTGTGGTATCTCAATATATGTATACAATGTATGATGATCATATTAGGATAATCAGAGTATCTATCACCTCAAACATTTATCATTTCTTTGTGTTGGAGCATTCAAAATCCTCTCTACTAGTTATTTTGAAATATATAATTAATCATTATTAACCATAGTACCCTGCTGAGCTATAAAACATTAGAAGTCTCTCCTTCTACTCAACTACACCCTTGTACTCATTAACCAGCCTCTTACTATCCCCACTATCCCTCACAATTACATATTTTTAAAATTTAAAATATACATATATAAAAAAAGAATTCAAGATACATATAGTTTATAAGGATGCTGCTGATTGATGTTTATTATTAGTCTATATTTAATCAATGATTATGACTTCCTGAATCAACTAGTGTATTATATATCATATTTTCCATTAGTCCTATTTCTGTCTTAATTACTCTAAGCAAGCCCCAAAGCGTTACATCACCCATAAGTAAAGACTTTACATATTGTTTATTAATGATGTTCCACATTCAATGTATAATCATACTTCATTATCTTTATTACAAGTACATGCTTAACACAAGTGAACTTTCTAAAAACCTACCCTTTCCTGGTATCGTCTTTCAAAAAAAGCCATATCATCCTCTTCTGGTCTCCTTAAGGAAGAAACTTGGCTACTTGTACCTGCTAACATGAAAAAACTCTAATTAACGTACTTATACCATTGTAGTTCCAAGAAAATTTTTTTAAACACAAAGAAGTTTCTTCCTGACAGATGATAGTTTTATTTTTCAGCCAGAAATAGCCTAAATAGCCTTAATACCTAATTCTTAGAAAGAATAGCACAAGACCAAAAAAGTAATTTTCAGTGGCAAACATACTCCAAATATTCAACTAATATTAAATAATACAGTATTGTGTAGATATTCCATATGAGTACACTTAGATTTGTCCAACTACTTTTTACACGTTACAACTAGAAATACATGTTACACTTTAAGAGATAATGCACAGCAGTCTGCATTATGGTGACTTCAATGAGGCTTTGTAACCAGAATGATAGAAACTGCGCTGAAATTTTTCAAAATAAAATAATTTCAGCCATCCTTCATAGTATTCACTCTGTAAAATTAATCAAGCACCTGTTTATGTGCTGAAAGGAATTTAAAATTGCTTCAGTACGAAAGTCTATTTTTCTTTGCAGACACTCTAAGAACCTTCAAAGAAAAGATTACCTTCAATACAGGCACATGTCTTTCCTGTGTCCTTTCATTTCCAAAATAGAATAGCAACCAGAATACCTGTTTTTCTAGTTTCTAAAGCATATAATTTCACCCTCAACAAACCACACAAAAGTATCTAACCCCGGTCACCACAAAGTACAACCATACTGTCAACTACATTTATCAAAAGCCTTGTTGAGAAAAATAAAATTAAAAAGATTACTTAGACAAGGCAAGGCATATCCATACCTCCAGAAACTCTGAGTCTATCCCTGGAAGAGGCTGGACCGTTTGACCTAAGCCTCTTCCACATTCACCTTTAGAGCTGCATTTTTTTGGAATATTATCGCTCTTACTAGAGATAACTGTAGAAACCAATCAACCATATTCTGTATTTGCTGAAAACGACCCCTTGAGGACCTTGGCCACTGCATCACATAGGGTCACTATTCAGATTTCTTTAAATTCATTACTGTGTCAGGCATGGTGACACAGACTCGCAGTCCAAGTATTTCGGGAGGCTAAGGCAGGAGGATTGCAAGTTTGAACCCATGCTGGTCAACTTAGCCTGTCTCAAAATAAAAAGGGCTGGGGATAGCTCAGTGCCAAGGCCCTGGTTCCAATGCCTAGTTAACAAAAATAAATAAGTAAATAATAAATAAATCAGTGTTGTGACAATCATTCACACTAAGGAACTAATGACTCTTCCTTTCTAATAAACAAAAGTATTTAACTGACAGCAGTTGCCCCTGTATCTTGGGTGCCACTACACATAGTCAAAACTGAGGTTTAATGCAACAATTACATCAGACTCAAGAAAAACTGTGTTCTTTTACTTGTTTTCATTTTTTTACTTGAATGTTTATTTAATCATTCCTTCATTAAAATAATGTAAGCAGACTTAAGATGCTTTGTAGAGAATGTCAGGCTCCATAAAGATACAAAATTTAATATTTAAAATATTGAACACGTAATAAACCATACACTTTCCATCTTCAAAGCCAGGAATGTAGTTCAGTGGTAGAGAACTTGCCTGGCATGCATGAATCCCTGGATTTGATCCCCAGCATTAAAGAACAGAAAACCTTCAATTTCTATCCTCAATGCTTTTGTTCCTTTTTTAATAAAGGAAATACAAATTACTAGAGCTTAAAATTAATTCTACTTACTTTTAATTTATAAATGATGAGGACTCTCCTAACCTGTGATCATGTCCAGATTACATCCCCTAGAAAGAACTCTGTTAATCCTCTAGAGCAGCCTCTTATTCAAACACCAGAACAACATGTAGCAGAATAAGGTTTAAATCTTCAAAATATAGTATTATCAGAATCCTTGTCATTTTCAGATTTAGCTGTTTTTTTCCCAATACAAAATGAAGTTCCTTGCTTTTTTACAGTGCCTGACCAATATAAAAGCAACTTGAAGTCAAATTGTGATAACAGAAAAAAGAGAGATACCTAAAAAACAAATCAGAAGCCCTATTTTCTTATTACATCCAAAAATATTTCTCATTCTAATTTCAATACCATCTGTCAATGTTTCTGGAGATATAGATGATGCTTGAAATGCTTTTAGAAATGCGTGATCCAGGGATGTAACTGGAGAGTCTAAAATTTCAACTGAAGGCGCACCTAGGAACAAAAGATATGGAGAATGAAAAAAGTAATCTTGATTTATAAGCATATAACGAAGCTATTATTCTAATATGAAATGGCATAGACTCTCAGCAGACTCTTTTAAAAAATACTTTCTATAAAAAAGAAATTTTTTACCAGGTGTAGTGACACACGCCTACAACCTCAGCTGTTTGGGAGGCTGAGGAAGGAGGAACAATGAACCCAGGGAAAAGCAAACTGGCCAAGAGAATGAGATCCATCTCAAAAACCAGAGATGAAAAGAAATTTTTATCGAAACTTTTATCTGCCACATAAAGACAAAGGGCTAAAAAAGTACTTTTCCATTTCTCAGAGGAAAAATAAACACATTATGTGCCGATATAGCTGTTTCAGCAAAGGAATAAATAAGCCCTAACATAGCAGCAAAACACGATCTAATGCAAGACAGTCACAGTAAGGAACTTCTGGCTAACTAAGATAAAACACAGTAAGTGTATTTTCAATCTATTCCTTACTGAGAAGACATCTAAAAGTTAGTGTAAAAATAATGAAGAAAGCGCCTCTTCGATGGAGGAAACAACCACCATCCCAAACCACAGAGAGCAACCGCAAAATGTGTTAACCGTCAGGGACCAAAGGGAAGGAAGCTGCAGAAGAAACGCAAAACTGTGCTTCCTCAAGAAGCACCACCTCCCCAACACCAGGGGTAGAGAGAAGGAAACGAACTTTTAGTCCTTACTGGTTTAAAAGCTAATCCTGTAGCACGGCATGGTGGCCCATGCCAGCATTCAGGAGACTGAGGCAGGAGGATCACCATGAGTTCGAGGCCAGTGTGGGCCAACGGTGAGTCCACAGCCAGCCTGAACCAGCCTGAACTTTTTTGAGTCTCTGTCTCAAAAAGGCAAAAATACTAGCATCTTTTGACCAAAAATAAATAAATAAGAAAGAAACAAATATTTAAAAAACTTAAAAGTTAATCTTGTAACGCAAACAGTATGGGACAATTGTTCAGTCTTTCCAATTCCTCTCCCTTCCTATCCCCAGCCACTCTCACGTGGCAGTGAGACTATAAGGAGGGGCTCAGAGACTTCCAGGTCCTTGTGCGATCCTCTGGTTGCTGCATGTGTTGCTGGTCTCCGATGCTCCAGGCTGACCTAACTTTTAATTTGGTCTCTCAGCATGACAGGGCCTGGGGGCCTTACACTTGTTCTCACTAAAACACAGACCCCCATGATGCTGGCTACTTCCATTGAACCCCCCGATCTGGGGACTCACTGTCAGCTCAGCTCTGGGGTCCTCTTTTCCTCCACTATCTCAAAGCTCGGATATCTGCCAAGTACTCCCTGAGAGGTGGGAATTATGGACTCTGTCTGTATTCAATAGGAATCAAATCCCAGCCAGATGTTGCCTCTCTCTTAAGAGGCTGCATGGCCAATAGAGCAACAAACTATAAGTAACTAACAGCAAGCCTCTTTCTGTCCTTATATTGTATCCCAGCGACCTACCCTAGGATGGGTAGTACTGACACCTTAATCCTAGCATTGCCCATGAATATCGAACACTCTAGATTCAGCCACCTCTGAAAAAGCCCTACCTATAACCACATGAGACTTTAGCACAGACATCAAGACACAAGCCATAACTGAAGACCTATGTTCAAAATATAAAAACTGTTTTTAAAAAATAGTTTTTAAACATTAAAAGACAAGTGGCAGAAAAGGGAAAATATCTTCAAAAAAGGATTAAAATATTAGTATACAGAATATATAAAAGACTTTACATAAGGCAAACAGAAGGAAAGAAAATAGAAAACTGAGTGAAGGATTTGAACAGGCAGTTCACAGGAAGTGAAATAGCCAATAAATACAACATGGAGCTGGGCGTGGTGGCGCACGCCTTTAATCCCAGCACTCGGGAGGCTGAGGCAGGAGGATCGCTGAGTTCGAGTAGGAAAGAAAATAGAAAACTGAGTGAAGGATTTGAACAGGCAGTTCACAGGAAGTGAAATAGCCAATAAATACAACATGGAGCTGGGCGTGGTGGCGCACGCCTTTAATCCCAGCACTCGGGAGGCTGAGGCAGGAGGATCGCTGTGAGTTCGAGACTAGCCTGGGCTACATAGTGAGTCCAGGTCAGTTTCAACTACATAGTGAGACCCTGTCTCAAAAAAACCAAAAAAACAAACAAACAAACAAAATGATCTTCATCTCACTAATACTACAGAAATCAAACTGAAGCAATGACAAACAATTTTTTACATCATGTTGGCAAAGAAAAAGTCAAGTTTAATAATGTCAGGGATTAGCCTCAATGAGGGGAAATGGGTGAGTTAAAATTACCCCTGGGAGAATTAAAAACAAGTCCAGCATTTTCAAAGGACAACTTAGCAGAATAAATTAAAATGTTACATGTGCATATATTTTACCTCATGCATTAACTGTTGTACCTCAAACCTATAACTGCTGTATAGTCAAAGTTATGCAAGGACACAGGATAAAGTTCAAAGATTTTTCTTGGAAAGTGCAGCTGTGATGGCAAAAAACCTAAATACCAAGAACAAGGCTGTGGTTAAACTGATAACTATAGTATAGAATACTGTACAGCAATTAAAAAGAATTAAATATTCATGTCATGTGTCCTGACATAATAATAGGCCTTTAATATTTTTCTAAATTAAAAAAAAAAGTAAAGCTGGGCATGGTGGCACATGTCTATAATCCCAGCAACCAGGAGGCTGAGGCAGGAGGATTACCAATTCAAGGCTACCCTGGGCTACATTGCAAGACCTTGTCTCAGAAAAAATAAAAAAATAAAAAGCTGGATGTGGTACATACCTGTAATCCTAGCACTCTGGGAGGCTAAGCCAGGAAGATTTCAAATATAAGCCCAGCATGAGCAATTTAGCAAGGACCTGTGTCAAAAATATAAGAGCAGGGGGAGCTGGGAATGTAACTCAATGGGTTCAATCCCAGTTCCACCAAAAACAAATTTAAAAAGTAAACTCAAAAAAGTATGTTAAGGAGAAAAAAAATTGATTGCAGCAAATTACCCTCTGGAAAAGATTAGGGTGAAAAGAAGTGTTCAACTGGCTTTTGGACTCCATTTCTACTGTTTGAATTTTTTACAAGATAATGTACACATATTTACATAATTTTTAATGAAAAAAACAACACAATTCTGTTGTTAAAATCCTCACACATCAAAGTGTTTAAAGTAGACAGAGAATATATTCATCTCCCCAGTCACATTCAACTCTCAGAAGGATAGAGCCGCTTTCAACAGTTTGGGATATATCCAACTGAACTTTTCCCTGTATTACTTAAAATCTAAATGTATATAAAACCAGAAACACTGAAACTACTGGAAGACCACCCAGAGAAAACACTTGAAGTCATAGGCACAGGCAAAGATTTCCTGAATGGGACTTCAATAGCACAGGAAATAATATCAAGAATCAACCAATAGGACAATCTCAAATTAAAAAGTTTCCTCATGGGAAAGGAAACGAGAGTGAAGAAACAACCCACTGCATGGAAGAAACTCTTTGCTAGTTACTTTTCTGATAAAGGACGACATCTAAAAGATATAATGATCTTTTAAAAATTAACTCCCGTAGAAGGGGAACAAGGGAGGAGAGAGGGTAAAAGAAGGGAGAAAAACAAGTGAAAATAAAAGGAAAAAATGGAAACAAAGCTTCTGTACATAGGGAGGGGAGTAGGGAGAGGATGGGATAAAATTAAAAAAACATTTATTTTTTAAAAATTAACTCCCATAAAATAATGAACCTAATAAAAAGTGAGCAAATGAACTAAATACTTCTCACAAGAAGTTCAAATGGACAAAAAGTGTATGAAAAAATGTTCAACATCTCTAGCCATCAGAGAAATACAAATTAAAACTACCCTGAGATCCCATTTCACTTCAGTCAGGATAACTAACATCAAGAATACAAAAAAAAGCCAGGTGTGGTGGCGCATGCCTGTAACCCCAGCACTCGGGAGGCTGAGGCAGGAGGATCACTTGAGTTCAAGATCAGCCCAGGATACATAGTGAGTTCCAGGTCAGTCTCAAGTACACAGTGAGACCCTGTCTAAAAAAAAAAAACAGGGCCGGGGATTTAGCTCAGTGGTTCTGCTGCCTGCCTCGCAAGCACAAGGACCCGAGTTCGATCCCTGGTACCAAAAAAAAAAAAAAGAAAAAGAAAAAAAAACAACAATAAATGCTAGTGAGGATGCAGGAAAATGAGGAAGGGAACATTCAGAAGGGAAGAGAAAAGAAAGAGTAACATAATGGAACTGAAATTGATTAAGATACGTTATGTTTGCTTGTTAGTACTGGAGACTGAATATAGGGCCTTCACAATAAATTATATTCCCAGCCATCTTTTATTTTCTAAGTTGCCCTAACTCGGCTTGAACTTGTCATTGTCCTGCCTTCGCCTCCCAGAGTGCTGGGATTACAGGCATGTGCCAGCATGTCTGACTATGTTAAAATGTGTATACCAATTTTCCAAAGTAAACCCCATCATCATGTAATATTAACATGCACTAATGAAAATTTTTAAGTAAATGTATGCAAGAAGATATGTATATGTATGTGTGTGTGTATGTGTACAGTCAAACTTTCTTATGGATGTGTTTACATGTATATACATGAACATATGTATATACATGAGCATGTGTGTTTCAAAAAGTTATTATAATAAAAGTTATATACAATAGGATAACAGTTAAGCTATGACATCAAACAAAGAAATATTATTTGGCTATTACAAACAATAAGGGTGTGATTAGTATCTGGGTACAAAATAATGGAGTAGGAATGATCTATTCTTTTTGGTTCTAAATTTTCCATAATAATAATATACTATATAGGGGCAATGAGATCCTTTCAAATAAGGGCACATTTTTTGAAAAATCGGTGATGAATATAAAATGCTAAACAAAAACAAGGCTTCACTACTCTTAGGACAAATACGAGCCACGTGATAAGCTCACGTTTTATACAGCCTCACTTACCGACCCCACTGCTGTCCAATCGCATGTAGCCCTCTGCCAGGGAGCTGAAACCAGTTAGCCCTCCCATCGCTGCGTAAGAAACATCCTGTCCCACTGGTTTTCCCTGAGCCAGTCTTTCTTGCTTTGTTTCCACCACCGTATCGTGGGCATATGCAGGCTGACCACACGCACAAGTGAAACAGCTATGGAATCCTGAACACTTGGAACCTGAGTAAGATATAAAGGAAGTTAAAATTTTTTAAGTAGAGGTACAAAAAAAAGTACCTATCAAATAAAAAATATTATTTGGCTATTACCAACAATGAGGATGAGGCCTGGGATTTGAGTACAAACACTGGAATGAGAATGATCTTTCCTCTGTGTTTTCTAAATTGCCCTTAATGATATATTGTATAGCATAGTGACAATAAATGTGACATTTAGTTTGGCCAAAGGCAGATGAATCTAGAACCGCTAACCCCAGATCCTGACCTCCCTCCCAGACATTGCTCTTCTAAAAGATGATAAATTGTAAGGAGGTATGTAGAAGAGGAGAAAAAAGGTTTTAGAAAAACCATGAGAGGCTATAAGAAACTGGGTTAGGCAGGCATGGCAGCCCTAGCACTCAGGAAGCTGGTTATGGAAGCTAGCACTCAGGAGGATGGCCAGGAGGTTCAAGGCCAATCTGGGCTACACAGTGAGTTCAAGTTCAGCCTGAAGTACAAAGCGAGACCCTGTCTCAAAAAAATTAAAAAGGATACTGGGTTAAACACTACAGTATCAGGAAATGCAGGCTTTGTCCTTAAACACTGAGTTAAAAGCAAGTAAGAAGGAGCTAGCCCAGTGGCCAGAACAAGTAAACAAAAATGTGGAAACCTCTCTGTAGATCTACTCCTCATAAAACTACATTAGAAGAGGGGCCAGGGATTTGGCTCAGTGGTTTCGCCACCTGCCTCACAAGTGCAAAGTCCCCAGTTCGATCCCCCGTACAGAAAATAAATAAATAAAATATTGAAAAAATGAGAACCCAGACCTGTCATGTAAAGGTACAAGAGTCCAATGATGAATGTAACTGTACTGTATATCTAAAATGTATCAATAAACTCAATGAGGGAAAAAAACCTGTATTAGAAGACCAACACATAGAACCAAAAAGGATAGAAAGGAAAGTACTATGCATGCCACAACATGTATGAATCATAAACACGTTATCCTCAGTGAAAGAAACCAGTCACACACACACACACACACACACACACACAAACATATATTGTATGATTCTGTTTTACATGAAATATCGGAATAAGCAAATCAGTGGACAGAAAACAGATTAGCTGGGCATGGTGGAGCATGCCTGTTATCCCAGCACTCTAGAGGCTGAGTCAGGAGGATTACTGTGAGCTCAAGGACAGCCTGGGCTACACAGTGAATATACAAGGTAGCCTGAACTACATATGTCAAGATTCTGTCTTGCCTGGGCCTTTACCTCAGTGGCACCACACCTGCCTCACAAGCTCAAGGTCCTGAGTTCAATCCCTAGTACCAGGGGAAAAAAAAAAAAAAGATTCTGTCTCAAAGGAGCTAAAGGTGTAGGGAAGGTGGGATGGGTAGGAGAAGGGTAATAAGGGAAAAGAAAAAAAATGTGAGATAATGAAAAGATGAAAATAAAGTGTTTGTAGATAGGGAGAGGAGGAGGGGGTGAAGGGAGGGCAGAGGTAAGGGGAAAAAATGAGAATCAAGACTTGTCATGTAGAGGTACAAGATCCCAACAATGAATGTAACTGTACTGCATCCCTAAAATGTACCAATAAACTCAATTAAAGCTGAAAAAAAAAAAAAAAAGAAAAAAGAACAAAAAAAGAAAAAGAAAAGAAATAAACAAATTAGTGGTTGCTTGATGGCTGGAAGAAGGAAAGAATAAGAAATACCTTCTAGGGCCAGGGATTTAGCTCAGCAGTTCGGTGGCCAGCCTTGCAAGCGCAAGGACCCAAGTTCAATCCCCGGTACAAAAAAAAATACCTTCTAGAGATGGGGGTAGAGGTCAGTGATTGAGCACCTGCCTCTCATGTTCAAGGCACTGGGTTCAATCCCCTGACACCACGAAACAGCTCTGCAGCAGCGCCTCCTTGCCCTGCCTTGCCTGCCAAGTGACCGCTCTGTCGCTCAGACTGGCCTTGAACTCACTGTGTAGCCCAGGCTGGCCTCGAACTTTCAGCCTGTTGAGTGCTAAGATTACAGGCCCATATTACCTCAATTCCTTTCATGTATTTGTGATTGACTGAGTCCCAGCCTAGGGGCCAAGCCCTTTAGAAAAGTTTTTGCATTTAATATTCTTCACAACAACTCTGACAGAGAGGCATTGCTGGTATTACTTTTACATTAGCAACTTAGGTTGGGACTTATTAGAATTGGTTAGAATTCCATTTTTGGTCTCTTTAGCGCCAAAGCCAGTTTTCTCAATGCCAGTTTTCACAATTCCCACATAATGCTGCACCCATGCCACTGCCTTGCAAACTGTTCTTAAATACTGTGACAATGTGTGATAGAAGTCTAACTTACAAACTTATAAACAAGTTCATAACATTTTATACTGGATCATGTCTTATACTTTAAAGCAGGTTTTCTCTACACTGGCACTCTTGCCATTTGGAAACAGGTAATTCTTCACTATGGGTGAACTTTCTTCAGCATCCTGTGTAGGATTTTTTTTTTTTTTTTAAGAGTAGGAAAAATTTACTGGGAGAAAGAAAGCGTTTAAGAGAGACAGAAGGGGAACTGGAAAGTGGGCTGCCCACCCACCCCACTTTTCAAAGATGTGTTATACAGCAAAGACAAAGTGGGACAAAACTGTAAGACCCAATGGTAAATTATAAGGTGGACATGAGGGCCACCGCTCAGGCTCCAGGAGGGCTGCTTGAGCCCTGATCCACCCCAGGAAGGAGAGCCACGCCTTCCCTCACCGGGAGCCGCCATCGCTCCAGCACCAGGAAGCCTAGCCGCGCAGGGGCCCCTGAACACACCCCCACACCCCACGCACACACATGCACACTCTCAGACCTCCTGATTGAGCCAGTCTTTGGACGCACTCTGCAGAGGCAGAGGAGGTCATAGAGGGTATTTTTCTGAGTTCCCAATGTTGAATATCTTTAAAGAAAGGGCATGGGAAACCTGTAGTAGAACAGTGTGGAGTTCAACCATTCAGAAGGTTGGGGAACTCAATCTGGGCCTTGCAGCCTGAGGTCAGTCAGCGTCACGGGGTTCAGCCATCAGCTAACTGAGATCAGGGGACTTGCATCCTCACTCTGTCTGAGCCATTAAATGGCAAGTACACTATATTGAAATTTTGTTCACTGCAGACATGTTCTGGACTACTTCTTGATTTCAATTTAATTCAAATGGTTTAAGGGCGATAGACTAGTGACTACCACAGGTGGTCAGTGTCCAAGTTGTGCTTGATCTTATTGTGTTGCTGGTTGGGATAAAGGATTGTGGTTGATTTGATAAGCTGTTTTCTCTGATGTTATGGAGATGAGAATTTCTGTGGGTCGTTAGAAACCCAGAAGCTAGGGTGCAACTATATCAGGGAGATTTGGTTGATAACCCAGAGATTAAACCAAAGACAGCCGGACAACAAAAATAAAAATGAGAAAACACTTAAGCAAGACAAAGACTTCCAGTTCACCAATGGCAAACAGTAGGGCAAATGAGGATGAAAAGGCCGATAGTGAACCACCAGGACATCCTGAACTTAAAGCACAGGAAGTAACAAAACAGGTTAATCGGGCTCTAGAAAAATTCAAAACAGAAATAATTTCCCAGATAACCATAGAGATAGTGAGAAAATGGAAATCGCGATTCGAGACTCTAGAGCAGAAACTGACAAAAAAATAGATGAGCTCAGGACCATGATAGAAGCCATGAAGGCCCAGCATAAGAAAGAAAGGGAAACAATAAACGCTGAACATAGGAAAGAAATGGAATCCATAAAACAGATTCAAACAGATATCAAGGAGATTAAAAACTCTATTGAAAGTATACATAACAGAATAAAAGAATGTGAAAATAGAATCTCAGATATAGAAGATAAGATGGCAGTCAGTGACCATGAAAAAAGAGGTCTCTTAAAAACAGTAAGGGATCATGAGAAATCGATCCAGCAACTCCTAGATGATGCAAAGAAGAATAACATAAGACTGATAGGAATCCATGAAGTAGCAAGAGAAAATACAAATGACTTAAAAAAGCTGTTCACAGAAGTAATGACAGAACACTTCCCAAACAGAGGGGAAGAATTTGACATTCAGATAACTGAGGCATATAGGAACCCAACTAGCTACAATCAAAAAAAATCTACACTTAGACATATAATAATCAAGATCCCAGAAACCCAACAGAAGAACAAAATACTACAAGCAGTAAGAGAAAAGAAACAAATCACATGCAAAGGAAAGCCCATCAGAATCACAGCAGACTTTCCAACACAAACCCTTGGGGCAAGGAGAGCCTGGAATGAGATATTTCAAGTACTAAAAGAGAACAACCTCCAACCTAGAATGATGTATCCTGCAAAACTCTCCCTCAAAATGGATGGGGAAATAAGACACTTCCATGACAAAGAACACCTTCTTCTCAACTACATGAATACCAAACCAGCACTACAAGCAATTCCAAACAAGATCCTAGAAAAAGACAATGAAGGCAACAACGCCATGAGGCCCAACAGAGCAAATCAAATAGGCAAGGCAAGAAACTAAAAGGAGAAGGTGAAAAAGTAAAAAGTCAACAAAAGGCCAATAACATATCAATAATAAGTCAGTACATATCAGTAATAACCATCAATGTCAATGGCCTCAACTCACCAATCAAGAGAAAAAGACTGGCAGAATGGAATAAGAAGCAAAATCCAACAATATGTTGTATACAAGAAACACACCTAGCACAAAAAGAAGCCCATAGACTGAAAGTGAAAGGATGGAAAAAAATTCTCCATGTGACAGGAGCCCAGAAAAAAGACAGGGTAGCAATCTTATTTGCAGACAAAGTAAATTTCAAACCAAAACTGATTCTAGTAATATAGATGTATGATAGTACTATATCATACCTCTGTGAATGCAAAATATCTTGTACCTGCTTTATGATATGTAGTAGTGACTGTGCTTTATCAGAGCTATTTTTAATGATGTTACTCTAGCATGTCCTCTCTCCAGGTGATGATTAAGATGCTAATTTAAAAAAATGGTACCAGGTACCACAACAGAAACAGAACTTTGCTGTTTTCTGGATAGTATTCTTCTCTTTGTTTCTTTGTTCTTGTTTTTTTAATGGAGTGTGCTGAATATCTATAATTTTGTTCAGATGACTGCAGAACCTGGAAAAGCTGTTGCTGTTATTGATGCATAACATACTGCTACTATTGGTCTTTTTATATAAGTATATATATATATACACGTATATATATAATTTGAATTTTTGGAAACTTTAACTGTGCTGTTGACTCTGGAAAAAGTTGTCCCAATTTACTGTGTTGAGTTGGCATTGTACAGAAATTAACAGCCACACTGGTCTAGAAAGTTAATTTTTTTTTCCATTTCTACAGGGGTAATGCACTGTATTAAATATGTAAGGTCATATCTACGTGGGTTTGATTACAGAAACTAATAAAGTATTCTCAAATGAAAAAGAGAATAATATAAGACTACAAGAGCAAGAAGCAACTTAAATATGTTCAAGGACCATTTTCATCTTCAGAATTAAGGATTATTTTAATTTTACATCATTGCCTTTTCTCTTTTACTTTCCTTTTTAGTTTTATTTTAGGTTTCCCTATTTTTAATGTTCATATAGAGATTTATTTAACTGAAATACTGAATAGTTTCTCTGGTGTGATAAACTATGATAGTACACAAGATCCTAATGAGATAACTAATAATGTGAAATAGGAAGTAAAGGGCTAAAGGTGTAGAGAAAGTGGGAAGGGTGGGGGAAAGGTAATAAGGGAGAGGAAAAAAATATGAGAAAATGAAAAAATGGAAATAAAGTGTTTGCAAATGGGGAAGGGAAGAGGGGGTGAAGGGAGGGCAGGGACAAGGGGAAAAAATGAGAATCGAGACTTATCATGTAAAGGTACAGGATCCCAATAATGAATGTAATTGTATTGTATACCTAGATTGTACCAATAAACTCAATAAAAATTTTTAAAAAAATAAGTAAGGTGGACATGAGGTAGGGCAAACCATGACTAACCAATAAGATTATAAGTACAGTCACCCAGGTAATATTGATTAAATGGGGGTCCAGTGGGGGAGCAAGCCACATAGCAAGGCTACGAGGATTTTCAGTAAGGCAGGGTCAGGGATATTTCCCAGAAAGGCTGGGTTAAGTTTTGGCCGCCCCGCAGGTGATTGAAACCTATTCAGAATATCAATCACTGCTATTTATCCCCCCAGGGAAGCACAAGGGTATAGTTGCTTCTCTCCTTTTACAATTCTGGTCTTCAGTGAATGTGACTTGACTGTCCTCCAGGCTGTCTCCTCCTCGAGGGCTGGCCTACATGATATCTAATTAACTTAGCTATCTACAATATCCCCTCTGAAGAAGTACCCCTAACTGCTGAGGGGGCAAAGGGCGAAGACAGCCCTGGCTACTTCCAGCTAAAGAGGGTCGCAGCTGTGAACAGCAGTTAGTTACTCTACAGAGGGTCTATTTAAAGGCCTTCCATAGGTGCCAAGCAGGCATTGTCATCTTGGTAACTGCATAGTTTTTAAGTCTGGGGGAGAGAAAGCCGAAGAAACAGTTAAGAATGCACGGGCCAAAACATAACGTCAGCCGGATTGCTATGAATATATCCCACAAAGAGGATAAGAAGAAGGTCCAGAGGACTTCAGAATTCAACATAGAAGTCATATTGTATAGTTTAACAGTTATGAGCTGTTTACAGGGTTGATCTGGTGTATCCCGGTAAAAGAAGTCTAGCACATTTGTCATTGGTTCCATGCGTGTGACCGCTTGGACTTTGGCAGCCTCAAAGATGTAGGAACCTGTAGGAAAGGTTCCTTTGTGTCCTGGATCTTGTAGACCTTAAGGGGTCAGGGTCAAAATATTGGCTCTCCTCATAGCCCAGTTACCTTTCTAGTTTTGGTCTCCAAACTCCGACCAGTAACCTCAGTTAACTTCCAAAATGATAAGAGGGGGAAGAGAAGTAACTCCCAAACCTACTAGACATTAACTCCCAAACCTACTATGAGTTCATGTTCTCTAAAATTGAAGAATGAGTTCTAGAAGCCACAGAGGTTGAGTAGGAAAAACTTATTGAGAAAAAGCTTCTGTCTCAGAGACAGAAGGGGGGCCGGAAAGCAGGCTGCCCCTGAGTAAGATGTTTTGCAGCATTCCTGGTCTCTGCCTGTTAGATTATAATCATACCCTCAACTCCAGTTTTAACACCCAAAAATGTTTCTAGATGTTGCCAGAGGTCCCCTGAAGGACAGAATCACCTACCTGCAACTGATAACCACCTATGTATTATTATGAAAATCACACAATTTTATATATTTTTAAAATACTATAAAGTATTTTAAAGCCTTAATGCTTTCAAAATAAACTTATAACCTTCGTTTTGTTTTTGGTGCCTGGAATCGAACTCAGGACCTACCACTTGCCAGGCAGGTACGGTGCCACTGAGCCACATCCCTGACCCTAACCTTATAACTTTTTAACTCTTTGGGTTTTTGTTTTTTGTTTTTTGGCTTTTGGTTTTTTGAGGTAGGGTATCGCTATGTAGTTGAGTTTGACCTGGAACTCACTAGGTAGCCCAGGCTGGTCTCGAACTCACAGTGATCCTCCTGCCTCAGCCTCCCAAGTGCTGGGATTATAGGAGTGCGCCACCATGTCCAGCTGTAACTTTTAACTCTTGACAGTTCATGTCAGTTACTTAGTTTAAGTTTGGACAGACAGTCTCTCCAGAAAGTGGTTAGAATCCTTTGATCACTTTGTATGCTATTTTGGTAAATACTGTACCACTGACATTTTAGTAGGTACTGGGTGAAATGGTATTCTAAATTCATACATAAGCTGACAGTACTTATGTTATTAGCTCAACCATATTAATTGAAATTCAATGTGATGTAATTCTTTGTCTTCAAACATCTCAAAACACAATTTCAGTATTAAAATTGTATCCTTTTTTATAAAGAGTAAGGTAGTGAATTATATCTCAATAAAGCTTGCGTTAAATTTTTTAAATATATTACTTAAATTATTTGAATTACAGGACATTGGAGTTTATGATCATCAAGCATACTATAACTCTGAGTATCCAATGAATTTTTCTTACTTGTTTAATACCCAACTATGAAGCTGAATAAAATGGTACAAAGATAATAAATATTCAATAAAGAAATTAAAACATTCTGCATTTGTATAATAACACGACTTACATGTGTTACATGCAAAGCCAGGTGCAGCACTATGCTGGTCTGCAAAGTGCTTGCACCTGCAGCGAATGTGCTGCGCCCCATTCTGAGGGACGTAATGGTAAGCCCTGCACGGGCAGCCAGTCACGCGGCATGGCAGGGCGATGGGGCGCTGCTGAGGAATTGTTTCAAAGTCAGTTTTATGTTGTTTATACCTAAAAAAAGTGGGGAGAGTAAGAATATAGCACAATGTAGGTATTATCAAAAAATCACAATTTCTATTCTGTCAAATGCAAATATGATTTGTTAATAAGGTGAAAATTAACTCTCCTATGGGCAATATTTGTTCAGAGCAAATTTTTTTTTTCCTATATAAGAAGTTTCACAACAGTACAGAGAAATATAATCCCCTTAAAATACTTGTCATTACACTCTTTCATATGGATGCATAACAAAGAATGAAAAAAAATACATAAAAGATTTGACAGCTACTATATATAACTGTATTATAAAACAATTAAATTTATTTTAATGATTTACTATTTAAAATTGGAGCTCAATACACACGTTAATGTAATTCATTATAATGTAATTTAATTTTCAACTTTTTTTTAGGTAGTCAGGGTCAAACAGGAGTGTTCTACCAGTAAGATATCTCCTCAGCCTGTTTTATTGTATTGTGGGACAAAGTTTGGATAAGTTGCTCAGGGTGGCCTGGAACTTTCAATCCTCCTGCCTCAGCCTCTTGAGTAGCTGGGATAACACATAGACACCACTGTGCCTGGCTTTATTTTTAACTTTTGACTTCAAAATAAACTATCGGGCCTGGGATTTAGCTCAGTGGTTCTGTCGCCTGCCTCACAAGTGCAAGGACCCATGTTCGATCCCCGGTACCAAAAAAGTTTTTAAAAATAAAATAAACTATCAGGGGGCCAGGGATTTAGCTCAATGGTTCTGCAACTTGCATCAAAAGCACAAGGTCCTGAGTTCAATCCCCAGTACCAAAAAATAAAAAATAAAATAAAATAAACTATCAGTATCTTTAAAGGCCAAGTTCTATGAAGACATTGTAAATAATCAAAAGGCCACTTGCTTCCTTCTCATCATGTGCTACTCAGCAAAATAATACTATATTTTTTATTCTTACCACTGACCTAAGATATATGTTAAACTAACAAGGACATACCCTATTTCACTTCACAAAAAGTTTTTCTAAACTATTTAATTTGTAATTATGTAATTTACAAGAATTTTCTTAAACAATATGTAATTTATAATTGTGTAATTTACAATTATATATAGTAGCTGTCAAATCTTATAAAAGAATTGTTTCTATTTAATAATGCTTCAGGAAACTTTAAACAGTCCATCCTTTAACACAGAAAGTTTATTCTAGAATACATACCTTAAGAAAATAATACCATTTACACACACACACACACACACACACACAGGAATGGGTAAATTACTACGACAGTTTTCAAGCTGTTTATTAGGAATAAAACTTGTTTTCAAAATAAAAACTTTCACAGAACCATAATTCTGCATATAAAATAGATAAAAGCAGAATTGGAGTTTCATCTTCCTCTCTCTAATCTGCCCTACCTAGCACATCCATGAGGCTTTGATCACAGAGAACATAAGATCAATAGCACTAGACCAGCTGGAGTATCAAGCAGGTGCTGAAAACTTTGATTACTACATAACAGGGAGCCAGGAAGTTAGCTCAGTGGTGCAGCCACCTGCCTCACAAAAACAAGGTCCCAAATTCAATCCCGGCACAAAAAAAAAAAAAA